TTTTTTTTTGGTTTTTCTCCGGTACCGGGAACCGAACTCACGACCTTGCGCTTGCCAGGCAGGCGCTTTTGCCGCTGAGCTAAATCCCCAGCCCAGTAATGCCAATCATAATTTGCCTGTATTAGTCACTTTCCCGATATTGGAACAAAACACCTACATCTTAAAGGGGTAGAGGTTTATTAGGACTCATTGGTTTCAGGAGGTTTATTCCATGGTGGCTGGAAGGCTGACACAGGCATGGCAGAAGGGCCTAGCAGAGGAGGCTGCCAACCCATAGCAGCCAGTAGGCAGAGAAGGGAGGAACAGGGGACAAGAAGCTGACCGCCATGTTCCCCCTCCCTGCTGTAAGACCCGCTCCCCAACAGGCCTAGCTTCTAAGGCGCACTCCACCATAAACTCATCAATGGATGAGTCCACTGAGTACAGTGTCCGCACGGCTAGTCACCTTCCCGAAGCCCCACCTCTGAGCACGTGCGAATCGGACATTCTAAATGTAAACCACAGTAGTATCCTACTCATGTAGGTATTGTTCTCTCTATATGAATGTAAAAAAATACTTGCCAATTTAACATGAGGAATGTTACGTTTCCCCTGATGGGCCGGGCTCTCTGGGCAGCATGAATCTGTCCTGATTTGTGTCTTGTGCTGTTTCTAGCCACCTTCCCGCAGTGCAGTGCCCCAACCATTGGCTGGGCAAGATCCAGTGAGCAGAGAGATTTTGTTGAGGGTTTTAACCCTTTGTCACCACCCTTAGTCCTAAAGTTACGGAGCTTGATAAAATTTTTTTTTTTTTGGTCTTTTGAGACAGGGTCTCGCTATGCAGTTCAAGCTGGCCATGAGCTCACTTTGTAGCCCAGGCTGGTCTCAAACTCGCAACGATCCTCCTGCCTCAGCCTCCCGAATGCTGGGATTACAGGCGTGCACCACCACGCCCGGTAATTGATAATTTTTAAATTGCCTGAGAATAAATGTGTGGACAAGAGTGTACTACGCGCATCATCAAAACGTCCGACCTTCATCATTCCCAGTCCTTTCCTACCCTTAAATTCCCGGCCCAGTTCTATTCTGCACGCCCTCTCACAAAGCAGCAAGTCAGGCTAGTCTTCTCCAGGAGGGCCGCAGAGGCTCGTTCCACGCGAGCTGCCCATCTTCAATGTGATCGCTCCAGACCGTGCGCTGTCCCTTCAGGACTTGGGAGCCTTTCCGGGATCGGCTTCTGAAGTCACGGTTGCCAGTGCGGACCAGTGCGCCTGCGCGGAGGCTCGGGGGCGGAGCCTGCGCGTGACGCACACGCCGTGCGTTAGCGCGTCGGTGCGTGGCTGCCCCTGGGAGTAACCGTCAGCGGGCTTCGCACCTTGGCCGTCGTTGGTGTCGTTTTGTGGAGTCGCTGTTTGATTTCTTACCTCCTAAAAGGCAGTGCCTTGTGCGTTTTGAGCCATTTCTACTGAATTGCGCCAAAGTATTATGAGCCTCTGGTGCTGGGTGAAAACTGTGGTCGGGGCGGGGAGAAACCAGAGGCCGTGGATGCCCCGGCCCCTCCCACTGATGCGCAGGTCTTGGCTTTCCATTCGCGGGTTTTTTTGTTTGTTTGTTTTTTTGTCTTTTTGGGACAGTGTCTCAGTATGGAGTTCAGGCTGGCCTTGAGCTGACTTTGTAGCCCAGGCTGGCCTCGAACTCACAGCGATCCTCCTGCCTCAGCCTCCCGAGTGCTGGGATTATAGGCGTGCACTACCACGCCCGGCGCTTGCCCTCGTGGTCTTTTTTTTTTTGAGACATGATCTCGCTCTGCAGTTCAGGCTGGCCTTGAGCTCACTTTGTAGTCCAGCCTGGCCTTGAACTCACAGCGATCCTCCTGCCTCAGCCTCCCAAGTGCTGGGATTACAGGCGTGTGCCACCATGCCCGGCCTTCCCTTCGCGGTCTTCGACCGGGAAATTCTTTGGCTTCCCTTCTCTGCCTTCTACATCCTGCCAGCTGTACACGTAGTCCTTAGATGTCCAGTGAGGCCTATTCATCACAATTGTGAGGTGATCGATTTAGGGAGTTTGAGTCCATTGAAACTGCATTTTCCTTATCAGGTACTCAAAATGTCATCTGTCAAGGACCAGCTTATCGAAAATCTAGTTGCAGAAGATAAAGGCTCCCAGTGTAAGATCACCGTAGTTGGAGTTGGTGCCGTAGGCATGGCTTGTGCTATTACTGTCTTACTGAAGGTAAGCGATAAGTCCATCCTATGGAAACCAAGGAAACACTTGTGGGTCTTCAGGATGTTGAGTTCAGGGTCGCAGGTCTAATCCCCTGACAGCAAAAATACGTCCTCTCATCTGATTTTTTTTTTTTTTTTTTTGAGACAGGGTCTAGCTATGTAGTTCAGGCTGGCCTCGAACTTGCAGTGATTCTCCTGCCTCAGCCTCCCGAGTGCTGGGATTACAGGGGTGCACCACCACAGGCGGCTAAAATCATTTTTAAATCAAGGATTTACACTATTTTTTCCACCAATGCTAGGGATTGAGCCCAGGGCCTTAGCCCTGAGGTTTATCCCTAGTCCCTTTATTTTTCAATTTTCATTTTGAAACTTGGGCTTGCTAAATTGCCCAAATTAGGCTTCAATTTTCCATTCTCATGCCTTACCCTTTCAGCGTTCTGGGATTGCAGGCATATACCAACCACCACACTCAGTTATACTTAAATTTTTTTAAAGAAATGTGCATTACATGCTCATTGTAAAACAAAACATACAAAATTTGGTAAAAATAACAGTGGAAGTCCTTTATTTTTTCTATCTTGTTTTCTGAGCATCTTTTCATGTGTTTATTGGCCATTTGTATATCATCTTCGGAGAAATAGGTATCAGAATCCTTTGCCCAATAAAAAATCAGACTGTCTTTGTTGTTGAGTTGTAGTACTTTGTATCTACAGAATATTAAGTACTTATCAAATATATGACTTGCAAATATTTTCAAAATATTTCATCTTATGAAGTGCCTTTTCATTCTGTTGACTCTGTCCTCTCACACAAGAAGAAATTAGTTTTGATGTTAAAAATAATAAAATCCTTTTAAATAACTTAAAGCTTTTCATTGGTTTTAAACTGTTACCAGGAGTCTGGAGATTTAGCTCAGTGGTACAGTGCCTATGGGGCAAATGTGAGGCACTGAGTTCAATTCCTGGTACCTCCCCCCCAAAAAAAACCGGTTACGTGAAGGAGGTGGGGGTAAACCAATTCTAAAAAAATTCTAACAAGCTGGGCATGGTGGTGCATGCCTATAATCCCAGCATTTGGGAGGCTGAGGCAGGAGGATTGCCATGAGTTCTTTTTTTTTGAGACAGGAATCTCACTATGCAGTTGAGGCTGGCCTTAAGCTCACTTTGTAGCCCAGGCTGTTCTCAAATTCGCAATGATCCTCCTGCCTCAGCCTCCAGAGTGCTGGGATTACAGGTGTGCGCCACCACGCCCGGCTAGTGAATTCAAGGCCAAGCTGGGCCACATGGTGAGACTGTGCCTCAAACAATTAAAAAAAATTCTAGCAATTATGTGAAAGTGAAGCAATTAGTAGTTGTTTGACCTTCCTGTTTGTACCTTGGCTTTTGGCACGTTCAGCAACTATTTCTATGTCGTTCTTCCCAAGTAAAAATGTGAGACTTCTCTTATTATAAAGTAGCCACATGAATATTCTTATTCTCCAAATATTTTAATAGGAACACTTCATTCAGAACTTTCATGTGTTTTAGGACTTGACGGATGAACTTGCCCTTGTTGATGTTGCGGAGGACAAACTGAAGGGGGAGACCATGGATCTTCAGCACGGCAGTCTTTTCTTTAGTACTTCAAAGATTGTCTCTGGAAAAGGTTAGTTTTAGTTTTATAAAGTTATTTTCAGACTTTAAAATAAGTAGTGAATTTTACCAAACTGATGTCAACAAGTATAAAATGAAAAATATCATTGTCTTATTAGGACATACAATTTTTTTTTTTTTTTTTTTGTCTTTTTGAGACAGGGTCTCCTTATGCAGTTCAGGCTGGCCTTGAGCTCACTTTGTAGGCCAGGCTGGTCTTGAACTTGCAACGTTCCTCCCGCCTCAGCCTCCCAAGTGCTGGGATTACAGGCATGGGCCACCTGGCCCGGCAGGACATACAATTTAAAAGATATTTTTTCTCCCATACTGGTGATTGAACCGGAGGCCTTACACTGAGTTACAATCCAGCCCTTTTTATTCTTTATTTTGAAGTAGGGTCTTGCTAAGTCACTGAGTTGCCCAAGGTGAGCTTGAACTTGCAATCCTCTTGCCTTGGTGTATGCTACCGTACCTGGTTTAAAAATTTTGTTTGGTTTTGTTTTGTTTGAAGAAACATTTCATTGTAATTGGAGGAAATTTGAAAAATATAGAAAAATGTAAAAAAATACTTTGACTCTCTTTTGTTAATGATTGGGTTTTTTGTTTGTTTGTTTGTTTGTTTTTTGAGACAGGGTCTTACTACACAGTTCAGGCTGGCCTTGAGCTCACTTTGTAGTCCAGGCTGGCCTCGAACTTGCAGTGATCCTCCTGCCTCAGCCTCCCAAGTGCTAGGATTATAGGCGTGCACCACCACGCCTGGCCCTGATTGTTTATTTTTTCCTTTTTTATTTTGTTTTTTGTTTTTTGAGACAGGGTCTTCCTATGTAACCCAGGCTGGCCTCAAATGCACAGAGATCCTCCTGCCTCAGCCTCCCAAATGCTGGGATTACAGGCATGTGCCACCATGCTTGGCTCCTTTTCTATGCACTTTTTACTTAACCAGCATTATAGTATGTAAATTGTTTTGAAACTTGTCATTCTGATGTTTATCCATATTCTTTCACCTGGCTTTCTTTTTTTTTTTTCTGGTACCGGGAATCAAACTCATGACCTTGCGCTTGCCAGGCAGGCGCTGTGCTGCTAAGCTAAATCCCCAGCCCCTTCACCTGGTTTTTTTCTTTTTTCTTTTCCTTTTTTGTGGTACAGGGGATTGATCCAAGGTCCTCATGCATGCTAGGCAGGTGCTCTACCACTGGACTGCATGTTCTGCCCTTTTAAAAATTTTTATTTTGGGGCTGGGGATTTAGCTCAGCAGCACAGCGCCTGGCCGGCAAGTGCAAGCTCATGAGTTCAATTCCTGGTACCGAAAAAAAAAAATTTTTTTTTTTTTGTTTATTTATTTATCGTACCAGGAATCAAACTTAGGCTTGTGGGGCCAGGGATTTAGCACAGGGGCAAAGCGCCTGCCTGGCAAGCACAAGGTCGTGAGTTTGATTCCTGGTACCGGAAGAAAAACAAAAAACAACAAAAACAAAAAAATACAAACAAACAAACTCAGCCTCTTGCTTGCCATTCAGGTACTGAGCTACTGAGCTACATCGCCGGTCCTAAAAATTTTATTTTGAGATAGGCTTTTGCTAAGTGGCCTAGGCCAAATTTGTGATCCTCCTGCTTCACCCTCCCGAATTGCTGGGGTTAGAGGCATGAGTCACCATTCCAGGCACACCTTTTTCTTTCTGTTTACAGAGGCAAGTTTTAAAGCATAGCATAAGACCATAGAACACAGGAGTGGAAAATTTGGTCCTGTTAGCATGACTATCATGTATTGACCAACTAAGAAGCCTCACGAGAATTGAGGAGAACAGTTATTGTATCATAGACTGGAGTGGAGAGTACACTCTGTGGTAATATAATCTCACTGATTATGCTATACTGGAAACCCACTTGTCTAACGTGATTGGCACTGAAAGTAGTTATTTGACTTAAAATTGTTGAAGATATTGTAAACATGTATTTAATTCATTTGTCAATTTTCTGATTTTAGGGCAAGGCTTTTGAGTATAGCACAGCTGATTGGGGGGCTTTTTGTTTTGTTTCTGAGACATGGTCTTGCTATGTAGACCATGCTGGCCTTGAACTCATGATCCTCCTACCCCTGCTTCCTGAGTGCTGGGATTACAGGCATGAGCTGATTGGAATTTTGCAGTTTCTTCTTGTTCTTGTCCTCCTTACCCCCTCTTCCCTTCCTCCCCCTCCTGCCTTCCTCCCCTCCCATTTCTCCCTGTCCCCCTCCCTCTCCTCCTCTCCTCCTCCTTTTTTTTTTTGAGACATAGCTCAGTGGCACAGCGCCTGCCTGTCAAGTGCAAAGTCCTGAGCTTGATTCCTGATACCAAAAATAAAAAATAAAAAACAAACACCAGAAACAAAAAACAAACAAAACCTCCAACAAAAAAAAAACAAACAAGCTGGAGGCTGCTGTTTACCAATTTCAGACATATATCCATAATATGAGGATGACTTACCCGGGTATGGTGGTGCATAACTATAATCCCAGCACTTGGGTGGCTGAGACAGGAGGATTGCTGCTAGTTCAAGGCCAGCCCAGGCTACATAATGAGTTTAAAATCATCCTAGACATAGCTCAGTGGCAGAAGCGCAAGGTCCTGAGTTCGATTCCCAGTACCAATAAATAAATAAATAAATAAATAAATAAAACAACCCCAAAACACAAAACCTAAAAACAAAAAGGATGACCTAGAAAGAATTCTTTCCTGGCCCTTGGGAGCCAGGCAAATAAAGTTGAGTTTCTCAGATACTTTAGTGGAGGGAAATGACTGCTAAGAATTTGGAGCAATAAGCTAGCTCTTCTCTGGAGTAAACTCACTTTTTTTTTAAGCTTCAAAGAACTTCCTGTTTTGTTTCTTTGAGACAGGGTTTCCTTTTGTAGATCAGGCTGGCCTCAAACTCATGGTGATCCTTCTGCTTCAGCCTCCCAAGTGCTGGGATTGCAGGCGTGTGCCACCATGCCGGGTGATTTTTGTTCTTTTGAGATGGTATCACTACAGGCCAGGCTTGACATCACTGTGTAGTCCAGGGTGGCCTTGAACTCTCAGCAGTCCTCCTCCCTCAGGCTCCTGGGTGCTGGGAATTACAGGTTCGAAGAACTTTCATAAATAAAATTCCAGTGAACATTTCATAGCAGAATAATCCATAAGAAAATGCATGAACAAGAATGAACAGAGATGACAAACAGGCCACTGTAGATTTCAAAAATTATCAGAAACAAATTACAAAATAAATAGGATTATTCTAGAACAAACTTGAAAACAGGATACAGCAAGAAACTATAAAACCTTTTTTTTTTTGGTGGTGGTGGTACTGGAGATCAGGACCTTCACACTGATCAACATCTCTAGGCTAGTTTTAATTATTTATTTTGAGACAGGATCTCACTAAATTGCCCAAGCTGGGCTCAGACTTGTGATCCTCTTGCCTCAGCCCCTCAGAGTGCTGAGATTTCAGATGTGAGGAGAGAATTTCTTAAACACAAAGGTAAAAAGTCACAAGGAAAATAAAATTAAGAGTTTGTGTTTACAAAAAAGACACTGTAGCTGGTAGCTGGGTGTGGTGGCACATACCTGTAATCACTGCTACTTGAGAGGCTGAGGCAGGAGGATCATAAGCTCCACACACACCTGAGCAATGTAGCAAGACCTGTCATAAAAAAGAAAGAAAAGAAAAAAAAAAAAAGCAGGATGGGGTGTGGCTAGTGATGTAATTTAGTGGTAGAACACCTGCCTGGTATGCACGAGGCTCTGGGTTCAATCTCCAGTATTGGAGAAAATGGCAAAACAAAACAACCCCCCCCCCCACAGTAACAACACAAGACACTAAAAGAGTGAAAAGTGTAGCTATAAAGTGAAAGAAGATATTTGCAACATAACTGACAGAAGAATAGTATTTTAAGTAAAAATACTTTTACAATGACTAAGATAAATATACGGGGCCGGGGATGTAGCTCAGTAGCACAGAACCTGCCCAGCAAGTGCGAGGTCATGAATTTGATTGCCGGTACCAAAAAAAAGAAAGAAAAAAGATAAATATACATAGCCCAATAGAAAAATGTAAAGGTTAGAACATTTCACAAAAGAAGAAATTGAAGTGGCCTATAAATATAGGAAAAGACAGTCTCAACTATGGAAAGGAAAATGAACAGTATATCAATATACAGTTACATACCCATTAGACTGGCTAAAGTGTGGTAACACTCCGCGTGAGGACATGGAATGATCGGTGTTCTCATGCACGGCTTGTGGGAGTGCATTACAGGAAAATAACTTTTTTTTTGAGCTATGTCGTCCAGACTGGCCTTGAGCTTGCTGTGTATCCCAGGCTGGCCTTCAGCTGTCCATCCTCCTGCCTCAGCTTTGCAAAGGCCGGGATTACACTTGTGTATCACCACACTCAGCTAGAAAATGATTTTTTTGAAAAAAGTTTATGTGGTGAAGTTGAACATAAATTTATCTGGAAACCCAAGACTTGCACTCCAAAGTATACTAAGTGAAGCCTGTGCATATTTACATTAGGATATGTAAAAGAATATTGTGGTTTAATTTGAGGTAGCCCCAAGCTGGAAACAATTCAGTTAAATACCAGTACTAAATTATATAAATTAGGCAGTGTAATACCACACAGCAATGAAAGTGAATGAACTACAGGGACACATATTAACTTGGATAAATAACATTCATAATACTGTACTTAGCTGAAGGAACACACCTTATGGTTCAAAAACAGACAAAAGTTAGTGTTATTTAAGTACACATAGGTGCTGGAGGTGGTGGTGCATGCCTGTAAACCTAGCATATGGGAAGCTGAGGCAGGAGGATCACTGCAAGTTCAAAACCAGCCTGGGCTACATAGTGAGTTCAAAACTAGCCAGAACAGGGGTTGGGGATTTAGCTCAGTGGCATAGCGTCTGCCTGGCAAGTGCAAGGTTGTGAGTTCGATTCCCAGTACCAGAAAACAACCAAATAAATAAATAAATAAATAAATAACCTCCCAAACTAGCCAGAACTACACAGCAAGATCCTGTCTCCAGGGCCGGGAGTATAGCTCAGTGGCACAAGCACCTGCCTGGCAAGTGCAAGGTCCTGAGTTTGATTCCCTGTACCCCCCCCCCAAAAAAAAAAAAATGGAGACATAGCCAGGAATGGAGGCACACACCTGTAATCCTAGCACTTGGGAGGCTGAGGCAGGAGGATCCTTGCGAGTTTGAGGCCAGCCTGGGCTACAAAGTGAGCTCAAGTTCAGGCTGAACTACATAGTGAGACTCTGTCTCAAAAAGACAGAAAAAAAAAAGAACAAAAAAGATCCTATCTCCAAAAAACAAACAAAAAAATCCATAAAAAATGTGCATAGGTGGTAAAGCTTCTTTGGTTGGTAACCTCCGAAGAGGAAAGATGTGTGTGCAGTCTGATTGGGGCTTTCAAGGTGTTGGTAGTGTTCTACCAATTCCTGTGGCTTTTATCAGAGTTCAATATTTTAAAAATAGAAATGCACATCTCATATACTTGTCTGTATGAATAATAACTTGACAACAGAAGGTTTTGTGAGCTCTAATGAGAAGGAGCAAGTGGTACGTCATTGATTGTCCACAGATGTTTTTAACCATTTCATTTATGAATAGTGCACATGTTGCAGACGTAGAAGATGGTAAGACTGTGAAAGAGGGAGGGATATGAGATGAGAACCTGTTATTATTGGGCTTACAACCAAGTTTGGATTTTTTTTTTCTTTTTTGGTTTTTGGTTTTTTTCCGGTACCAGGAATCAAACTCACGACCTTGTGCTTGCCAGGCAGGTGCTGTGCCACTGAGTTAAATCCCAGCTCCTTTTTTTTTTTTTTTTTGAGACAATGTCTTGCTATATAGTTCAGGCTGGCCTTGAGCTTACCTTGTAGCCTAGGCTGGCCTCGAACTCACAATGATCCTCCTGCCTCAGTGTGCTGGGATTAGATTAGCACTTTGATACCAAGAATATGCAATGGGCTTTTTAAGTTATAGAACTTTTTTTTTTTTGGTTTAGTTTTGATACTAGGAATTGAACTCAGGACGTTGCGCTTGCCGGGCAGGCACTTGTGCTGCTGAGCTAAATCCCCACCCCTGCAGTAGGTTTTTTAAGAGTTAAGACACAATGACTTTAGCAACCTGGATCCAAATACTGTCTTGTTTCCTTTTTTAGATTACAAGATAACTGCAAATTCCAAGTTAGTTATTGTCACCGCAGGTGCAAGGCAGCAGGAGGGGGAAAGCCGCCTTGCTCTGGTCCAGCGCAATGTGAACATCATGAAATCAATCATTCCTCCCATCGTCCAGCACAGTCCCGACTGCAAGATGCTCATCGTTTCAAATCCGGGTGAGCCTTTTCTCCTGTCTTGTACCATATCATTTTATCTCCATATCATTCCTTATTTTGTTAAACTTCCTTGAGGTGACATATATGTATAATAAACTGTACTCATTCAAAGAAACAATGCAAAAAGCCTTAAAAAATGTAATCACTTTACTACCACCATAATCAACGTACAGAACATTTCTTTTTTCTTTCTCTTTTTCTTTTTTTTTTCCTTTTGAGACAGCGTCTCACTATGCAATTCAGGCTGGCCTTGAACTAACTTTGTAGCCCAGGCTGGCCTTAACTTGTGGCGATCTTCTTGCCTCAGCCTCTTGAGCACTAGATTAAGGTACAGAACATTTCTGTTACCTCTGAGAGTTTCCTTTGGCGCCTTTACAGTTCATCCCTCATTCCACCTCCAGCCTCGTTCTCTGGGGCTTTATATAAATGGAATCACAGTGAAAATGGTTTTTCTATCTGGCTCCTTTTACCCAACATAGTTATTTTGGAAATAATTCATGTTATTCAGTACCATATTGGTGATGAGTTCCTTTGTATTTTGTTTATTTATTTTTGTCTTTTTGAGACAGGGTCTCACTCTGCAGTTCAAACTGGCCTTGAGCTCACTTTGTAGCCCAGGCTGGTTTTGAACTTGCAACAATCCTCCTGCCTCAGCCTCCCAAGTGCTGGGATTACAGGTATGTGCCACCACACCCAGCTTTTTTTTATTTTTCAGGTTGGCCTTGAACTTACTATGTAGCCCAGGCTGACCTTGAAGTTGCAGCAGTCCTCATGGCTCAGCCTTACCAGTACTGGGATTACAGGCCAATTTGTTCCTTTTTATATTGATAAATAGTATTTTCTTTCTTTCTCTCTCTCTCTCTCTTTTTTTTTTGAGACTAGATCTTGCTATGTGGTCCAGTCTGTCCTTACTTCACTACCATCCTGCCTCAGCCTCCTGAGTGCTGCATCTCCACACCTGGTTAGAATATTCTTGTATTTATATATTTTAAATGTTCTGTTTACCTGTTTGTAGGTATTTGGGCTATTTCCAGTTTGGGGTTATTATGAACTGACATGACTGTGTATGTATAAGTCTTTGCATAGTTGTATGTCTTCATTTCTTTTGGATGAAAACCTGGGTTGGGTTATATGGTGAATGTGTGTTTAAATTCTGTTAAAACCACCAGAGCTGGGTGTGGTGGTGCACATCTGTAATCTCAGCACTCAGGAGGCTGAGGCAGGAAGATCGCTGCGAGTCTGAGAGCAGCCTGGGCTACAAAGTGAGCTCAAGGCAGCCTGAACTGCATAGCGAGACCCTGTCTCAAAAACAGGGGCTGGGGATTTAGCTCAGCGGAAAAGCGCCTGCCTGGCAAGCGCAAGGTCGTGAGTTCGGTTCCTGGTACCGGAGAAAAGCCAAAAACAAAACAAAACAAAACCAAACAAAACAAATCAAAAACAAAAAAACAAAAAACAAACAAACAAAAAGAAACCAGAGACTTTCAAAGTTGTACATTTTTAACATTCTTACCAGCACTGTAAGAGAATTCTAGTTGCATCATATCCTTGCAAACATTTGACATTATCAGTTCTTAAAATTTTAATCTCATCTCATCTCCACCTCCTTTCTCCTCCTCTGTGTACTTCTCCTCCTCCTCTGGTAGAACCCGGGGTCTTGTGCATGCTAGGCAACACTCTTCCACGGAGCCACCCTACAGCCCTTCCGGTTTGGAAGGATAGTTTTGCCAGAGAATGTATATTTGTTCTCTTGCTAGTGTACAAAAAAATCCTTAAGGTTTGTTCATCTTTCATTTTTAAAAATCAAAGTGGGACCAGGGCTTTGGCTCAGTGGTACAGTGCCTGCCTGGCAAGTGTGAGGCCCTGAGTTCAATTACTAGTACAAAAAAAAAATCAAAGTGAAATTCATGTAACATACACTTAATTCAAGTGTGCAATTCAGTGCTACATAGGAGGTTCACAATGTTGTGCAACTACAGTTCTGTGTTCTTTGTTCTTTTGTTCCTCAGATGAAATTTTCAATTTCTCATCTTTTAAGTCAGTGATTCTTTTGACTCAGTGACTCGTCAATCTGCTGTTGAGCCATTCTAGTGAATTTTCTCACTTTTTTTTTTGGTGTCAGGAATCAAACTCAGGACCTTGCACCTGCCAGGCAGGTGCTGTAACCTCTGAGCTACATCCCTGACTCCAAGGAGATTTTTTTTTTTACTTTGTTTTTTGTGAATTTTCATTTGTTCCTTTTCCTTTTCATAATTCCTGTTTGTTGGTAGCTTATATTTGCTGAGACACTGTTGTATTTCCTTTAGATTGTGAAACATGCATTCTTCTAGCATGTTAAACATAGTTTAAATAATTGACTTAAAGTATTTGCCTAGTAAATCTCTGTCTGGACTTCCTCAGGGAGTGTTCATATTGAATGCCCCTCTGTCTTGGTTACTTTTTTCTCGTTGCTGGGACAAAATATCTGACGTCCAAAATTAAGGAAGGAAAGGTTTATTTCGCTTAGTTTGTGGAGGTTTCAGTCCTTACTTGGCAGATTATAAGGCAGAGTGGCACATGGCAGAGAGCTACAGCTCAGGGCAGCAGAACACAGCAAAGCAACAAAACAAAAGCCAGGAATGGTGGAGGAATTGCCTCAAGCACCCTTTTCCTCTGCCTTACATATGCAAACTATCCACCCCAGGGCGGGTGCAGCTCTCACACCCCTAATCAATCAAACTTTAAAAGCCTGCCCCATGGCCGAATGAGGCTTTCGGGGGACACACAGACAAACCATAACACCCTCTCTATTCATGGGTCATACTTTCTTGTTTCTTCATGGGCCTCATAATTTTCTGTTAAAAACAACATTCTGAAAATCATAAGAAAGCTCAGTAAATCAAATTCTCCCTCTCCCCAAGGTTTGTTGTCATTGCTACTTGTTCCTTGTTTGTTTCACGTCTGTTGTGAAGTAATTCTGTAGAGTATCTTTTATTGTGCACAGCCATAGAAGTTTTTCTCCTGGAATTTTTTTAGTGGTCAGCTAATGTTTGGATAGAGCTTTCCTTAAATGCCAGGAACCAAAACCTAGCTTCCAGTTATTTCTGGAGAGCTCTGTGCATGTGTGTGTGTGTGTGGTGTCGGGGCATGTCTTCAACACTCAGCTAGGTAGTGTACAGCTCTGCCTTAGCCATCACTTCCTGCTTCCTCAGAGCCTCAGGGTCAGACAGAACTCAGCCTCCTGTTTTTCTTGAGCACGTGACACACCTGCACATAGCCCCGGGCATGCTCGTGGCGTTATTCTAGGTAACAGATGCCAGATGGCTTAGACAAGGATGTGGTAATGGAAAGAGTCTAAAAGAGTGATTAAGGAGGTAGAATTGACTGATCATTAGATATACAGATGGGCACATACTGTATCTCAAAAGATGTTTTTTCCTTTAAAATTCTGGTAGTGAATAATTTAACATTTTAATTAACATGTAACTGATTACCCATACTTCTTTGTTTATTTGCTGCACTTTGAACTCTGTACCAACTCTGTATTTGATTCTAAGACATCGCATCAACCTATTAGAAAAGCAAATTATAAAAAGAAGTTACTATGGATTTTTTTCTAACATGAAATTTTCTTCCCAGTGGATATTTTGACATATGTGGTCTGGAAGATAAGTGGCTTACCTGCAACTCGTGTAATTGGAAGTGGTTGTAATCTAGACTCTGCCCGTTTCCGTTACCTAATTGGAGAGAAGTTGGGTGTCCATTCTGCAAGCTGCCATGGCTGGATTATTGGAGAACATGGTGATTCTAGTGGTAAGTAAAAATCTATTATTAGCAGGTAACTACCTATTTTTACTAGTAGTTATTTTCTTTTTCTTTTTTTTTTTCTTGTACCAGGAATCAAACTCAGGACCTTGCGCTTGCCGGGCAGGTGCTTGTGCCACTGAGCTATATCCCCGGCTTATTTTCTTTTCTTTTTTTTTTTTGTTTTTTTGTTTTTTTGGTCTTTGAGGCAGGGTCTCACTATGCAGTGCAGGCCAGCATTGAACTCATTTTGTAGCCCAGGCTGGCCTCAAACTCACAGTGATCCTTCTGTCTCAGCTTCCCGAGTGGTGGGATAACAGGTGTGCACCACCACACCTAGCTAGTAGTTATTTTCTTTAGAGTATATTTTTCTGAGATTACTATATCTGTATACAGTTTATTTTGTTACTATTTCCTTGGTATCTTTTACTGTTTCTTTACTTTATTATTATTATTTTTTGGTTCCAGGAATCAAACTCAGAACCTTACACTTGCCAGGCAAGTGTTTATGCTGCTGAGCTATCTCCTCAGCTGTTCCAGCTGCATTTTCTTTATCCATTTATTATTTTTTTTGGGGGGGAGGACCACATCATTTTACTGGGGGACTTGGAAGTAGGGAGAAGCCACTGAAAAGACGCTTTAGACAAGGTGATCTGACGTCCTTGGCAGGGCTAGATCTCTCCGGGTCTGCTGTTGCCAAAAACCATTCACTTGTTATTGGATATTTAGGTTGATGCCAAATCTTGGCTATCGTAGATAGTGCTGCAATAAACATAGTTATACCAATATCTCTTTAATGTATTAATTTCATTTCCTTTGGTTATTATATGCCTAGTAGAAGGATTGCTGGATTATATAGTAATTCTGATTTTAATTTCTGAGGCATTTCCATACTGTTTTCCATAATGGTTGTGCTAATGTGTATTTTTACCAGTAGGACATGAGTTCCCCTTCCCCCATAGCCATAGTTATATTTAGTTTTTTGTTTTTGTCTCTTTGATAATAGCCATTCTGACTGGGGAGAGATGATGTCTCACTGTACTTATGCTTTGTATTTCTCTGATCAGTGACATTGAGCATGTTTTTATGTACCTGTTGGGAATTTATATATCTTCTTTTCAGAAATATCTGTTCAAATACTTTGCCCATTTTTAAGTTGGAACCCAGAGTAAATGTTCTACCGCTGAGTTATATCCCCTGCCCTTTGTATTTTTCTTTCTTTGTTTTTTCCCCAGGTCTTTGTATTTTTAGTTTTGAAAAGAGTCTTACTGAGTTGCCCAGGTTGGCCTTGATTTTTTTTCTGGTACTGGGAATCAAACTCAGGACCTTCTACTTGCTAGGCAGGTGCTTGTGCTGCTGAGCTATATCCCTGGCCCCCAGGTTGGCCTTGAATTTGTGATCCTCCTACCTCAGTCTCCTGAGTAGCTAGGATTACAGATGTGCATCATTGCGCCTAGTTACAGAATCTTCTTTACTTTTTAATTTTTATTTATTTATTTTTGGTACCGAGAATTGAACTCAGGACCCTGCACTTGCCAGGCAGATGCTTGTGTCACTGAGCTATAATCCCCAGCCCTTATTTACTTATTTTGAGACAGGGTCTCACTATGCAGTTCAGGCTGGCCTTGAATTCTCTTATGTAGTCCAAGCTGGCCTTGAACTCGCAATGATCCTCCTGCCTCAGCCTCCCAAGTGCTGGGATTACAGGCATGCACCACCATGCCCGGCAGTCATGTCCTTTGTGTTTTGTAGGTTTTTGATTTAAAGTCTTATTTATGTATGTATGTATGTATGTATGTATGTATGTTTTAGACAGGGTCTCACTTTGTAGTGCAGGCTAGCCTTAAATTCACTGTGTAGCCTAGGCTGGCCTCAAACTTGCAGTAATCCTCCTGCCTCAGCCTCTCAAGTGCTGGGATTACAAGTGTGCACCACCATGCCTGGAAAGTCTTATTTATTTGGTGTAAGTATATACTTCTGCTCTTCTGGTTTCCACTTGAGCGGATGACCCTTTTTAAAGCCCTCACTGGCAGTGTGTGGGCATGGCCTTAGGGAGTGAAGTGCGCTTTTTTGTAGACAGCATAGTTAGGTCTTGGCTGTTTAGAAAATCCATTTACTCACTCTGTCTTTTAATTGGGGAATTGAGTCCTTTACATTCAAGGTATTACTGAAAGGTAAAGATGTACCTTTGTCATTTTGTTAGTTGTTTTCTTATGGTTTTGTAGATCTTTTGTTCCTTTCCTTTTTGTCTTTGTGATTGGGTGTCTTTCTTTTGTGATAAACTCTGATTTCTTTCTTTTTTTTAGTGGTAGCAGAGTTTTATTAAAGGTAGGAGGAAATTCCTTTTTTTTTTTTTTTCTGGTACAGGGAATTGAACTCACAACCTTGCGCTTGCCAAGCAGGCGCTATGCTGCTGAGCTAAATCCCCAGTCCCGGTAGGAGGAAATTAAACATGCTTTGCAAGCAAGTTTGGGCCTAGTAACAATAGGAAAAGAAGTACCCTGACAGCATAAGGGTGGGCTACCATACGAGACCAAACACAGTGACAAAAGCCAGTGTGCACTGTCTTTTTTGTATCACCCACTTCCCAGGCTGACGTCAGGTCTAGGCCGTCCTATCGAAAAGCTGCTTGAGTTCTTAAGCTTTGATTTCTTTCTCTTAGTTATTCATGCATGTGCTATAATTTCTTCTTTGTGGTTACTTTGTGTTGCTTGCTATGGCAGCACGTATACTAAAAATGTGGTTACTTCGGGGCTTACATACAATAAACTTATTTTTATAGAAGTATGCTTTAAGCTAATAACAGCATAACTTTGTTTTTTTTCTTTTTGTCTTTTTGAGACAAGGTTTCACTATGCAGTTCAGCCTGGCCTTGAGCTCACTTTGTAGCCCAGGCTGGTCTCAAACTCCAAGTGATCCCCTTGCCTCAGTGTCCTGAGTGCTGGGATTATAGGCGTGTGCCACCACGTCCGACTCAACAGTTTAACTTTGGACACATACAAATACCCATTTAGCCCTCTGAATATGTCATCTCATTTTCTACTGGCCTGCAAGTTTCTGCTGAGAAATCTGCTGTTAGTCTAGTAGGGATCATTTTTGACTAATACTTTGTAATTTATTTCTTATAATTCCTTTGTTCCATTTGAAACTTTTTTTTTTTTTTTTGCCTTTTTGAGACAGGGTTTCACTATCAAATTCAGGCTGGCCTTGAACTCACTTCATACCGTAGGCAGGCCTAGAACTCATAGCGATCCTCCTGCCTCAGCCTCCTGAGTGCTGGGATTACAGACATGCACCACCACACCCGGCTGAAATCTATTTTTATATATGTAATTTAGTAACCTATCTTAAAAAACATGATACTGAACTCAAATAGCTGATGCACTATTAGCAAGCAGAGCTTATTTTGGTATATATACATATTCTATATAAATATATAAATATAATATAGCATATTAAAATACTATATAAAATATATTGTACATAACATAAATATATAAAATAAGAATAATACATGGTATATACATTAAATGTGTATATATACTTTTTTTTAGTGCCTTTATGGAGTGGGGTGAATGTTGCTGGTGTTCCTCTAAAGTCTCTGAACCCTGACTTAGGAACTGACTCAGACAAAGAACAGTGGAAAACTGTCCATAAACAAGTTGTTGAAAGGTAACAGTACTCATTCAGTTCTCTTTCCTTAACAATTGCCAGGCATAAATTTTGGGATGAGCTTTTCGCTCATGGTAGAGTGCTTGCGTGGTGCGGTGATTCCAACCCTAGTACTTCCAAAGAACAAAAAAAAATCACAAGCAAAAGCTGCTATCTTATCTTTGCTTTTTGTGAGATAATAATTCTAGGTGTATGAAAATCCTCAAATACAGATATAGTATGCATAGCTTTACTTTGCTTGCATTTCCCCAAAAGAAAAAGTATGTATTTTACAGGAGCTCATATATATTTGAGAGATAATAAAACGTTGTGATTCACAGCATGGACTTTGGAGCCAGGTTTATTTACCAGTGGTGTAATATTGGGAAGTTACTTAAGATACCAAATGCTGAGTGTACTAATCTTAAAAATGGAGGTGATTATAGGGCCTACTTAGAGGGTGACTAGTAGAGTAATTAAGTACGTACATACAGGAGGAACAGTGCCTGGAACTTACTGAATGCTCATCATACAGCTTGAAGTGGATGCAGACGATCAGAAAGTAATGATGTGTTCTCATAAATGAAGCGTCTGATTGTGTATATATATATATTTTTTTTTCCGGTACCGGGAATCGAATTCACAACCTTGCGCTTGCCAGGCAGGTGCTGTGCTGCTGAGCTAAATCCCCAGCCCCTGATTGTGTATATGTGAATCTGAGTAGCACACATGATCGTCCCTCATACTACAGCCAAGTCACATATGAGTAAAAGTTACAGGATTTAAAACTCATTTTTGGATATTCACAAAGTCTATTTTATGTATACTTGTGATAACAACTCTGTAAAAATGTGTGAGAATTGTGGCATAGATTTAAATAGTCACATAATATAACAAAAAAGTGATTCTAGTGAGTTTGTATTGTCTAAGTGACTTGTTAGTTTGAAAAGTTAATTTTTTTCTTTTTGAGTTTTTTTGAAAAAGGATTTAGCTATGTAGTCCAGGCTGACTTTAAACTCTGTGTGTGTCCTAGACTGGCCTCAAACTTTCAGTCCTCCTGCCTCAGCCTCTTAGTGTTGGTGTTACAAGTGTGTAATACCTTTGTTTTTTAATTATGCAACCTAAGCCAATAGAGTTTCAGTTTGGAAGTTGAAGATACAGAGGGTGGTGATGTAATGATTGCACAACAACAATGTAAATATAGTTAATGCTGTGGTACTGTACACTTAATGGTTAAGTGTACTTTTGAATTTGAAGCACTGTTGCTATAAGGGACCAATGATTAAGATCGCATTTCCCAATAAAGTGCTATATGACTTAAGTGCTGTGTTAGTCCGGTCTCCATTGGTATGACAGAATACCTAAGAGAAAACAGTGTAAAGAGGAAAGGGTTATTTTGGCTCATGGGTGCAGTCCGTGGTCGCCTGGCCTGGTTGTTCCTCAGCCTGTGGTGAGCGAGGACGTGTGGGGGGGAGGAAAGCTGCTCACCTTATGGTGCTCAGGACGGTGTGTAGGAGGGAAGAGGGGTGAAGAAGAGGAGAGGGGGAGGGGGAGAGGGAAAGAGGGAGGGAAGGGGAAGGGAGGGGAAAGAAGCAAAAAGAGGCGAGCGAGAAACTGGGGAACAAGATGTTCCAGGGCACCTGGCCAATGGCCTACGTCCTAACTCAGCCCGCCTCCCAGGGTTTCCGTGATTCCCAGCACAGCCGTCGGGTGAGAGCAAGGCTTTCAGCATCTGAGCATCTGGGGGGACATCTAAGGGCTTCTGTTTTGTTTTTTGTGGTACTAAAAACTCACTAGGCATGTAGGGCCTAGTGAACGCTAGGCAAGCGCTGAACCTCTGAGGTATATCTCCAGCCCTGAGGGAGGTTTAAGAGCCACACTAGAACAAACTGCAAGGAGTGCAACATGTTACAGATCAGAAATCATTCCAGTGAGTCCTTTCAACTCTGCAAGATCCGAAGTTAGAGTATTTACCCTATTTAGATCTCTACTTAAAAGACCCTTCTATTATTTATCTAAAAACTATTGACCTTTTTTTACAGGATTGGCCTCTGATTTGCCAGTGCCTAACCCACAACTGCAGGGGAACGACGTTGTGATTTAATTGGGGGCTTTTCAGTCCTAACAGCGTTCAGTTTACAGTGTAGATCAGTTTGGGTACTACTCAGCCATAAAGAGGGATAAACCTGAGTCATATGTAGGACAGCGGGTGCACCTTAAAACCATATGTTTAGCGAAATAAATCACACACACAAGCTTAAATATCACATAGTTTCTCTTATATGGGAAATATAAATAAAGAGAAAACGAAAGATAGGTAATAGGAAGCAGTGAGATCTTTCTCAAATGGGAAAGGGATCAAGAGACGGAGGGAACAGGGGAAGAAGGGGAAGGGGATGAAAGAAGAATTAAAACGTGTATGTATATTACCTGCTCCCCACACTGTGTACATTATGTACTGCAAATGTGTGCTCATAAAACATATAAAAACTGCCGGGCATGGTGGCACACGCCTGTAATCCCAGCTCTCGGAGGCTGAGGCAGGAGGATTGTTGCAAGTTTGAGGCCAGCCTGAACTGCATAGTGAGATCCTGTCTCAAAAACACCCAAAAAGAAAAATTAAAAAAAAAATATATATATAAACTTTAACAAGTCTTTATTAAACATAGCTACTTGTTTTACCACATACCTGTAATCCCAGAATGGTGGGAGGCTGAAGCAGGAGGATCACAAGTTTGATCATAGTCTGGGAAATTTAGGAATTTAGTGAGAGCCTATCTCAAAAAAACAAAACAAAACACTGGGCGTGGTGGTGCACACCTGTAATCCCAGCACTCTGGAGGCTGAGGCAGGAGGATGGTTGTGAGTTCGAGACCAGCTTGGGCTACAATGTGAGCTCAAGGTCAGCCTGAGTTGCATAGCGAAACTCTGTCTCAGAAAGACAAAAACAAAACAAAACAAAAAAAAACAACTGTTCTATTTCATCTGTTCTCTTTACCACTGCTTTATATCAGCAGCTTTTTGTATGCTTTAAAATTTCACAGTTTGAAAAATTTTTGATCAACATGTATAAGTTATACATATAAAGGGTTTCAGTGTGGTATCTCAGTGCATGCATATAGCACGCACTGATCAAATCTGATCTCCTGCTGGGCATGGTGGCGCATGCTTGTAATCTCAGTACTTGGGAGGCTGAGGCAGGAGAGTTGCTGTGAGTTCAAGGCCAGCCTGCACCACATAGTGAGACCCTGTTTTAAAAAAAGATACAAACAAAGAAGGATTGTTTAAAAAAGAAATCCAACCTCCCTTTGCTCATCCTCCCTCTCCTACCTCTCACTTTCCAGTCCCTAGTAGTCACTGTTCACTAGTCCACATTCAGGTGGACTATTTTTTAACTGCCATATATGAAAGATAACATGGGGTTCTTGTCTTCTTGTGTCTGGCTTATTTCCCTTAAGGCCACAGCCTCTAGCTACATCCACTTTGCTGCAAATGACAGGATTCAAATCTTCTTTATAGCTGAGTAATATTCCACTGTGTCTATACGTCCATCCACTGATGAGCACCTAGGCAGATTCCAGTAGCTTTGTGTGTTTTGTTTATTTTGCTTCAGTAATGCCTCCAGTTTCAGTCATTTCCTGCAAGGGACAATATTTCATTCTTTATGGAGGAACAATGCCCTATCATGTATATATACATGATTTTTTTTTATCCATTCATTTTTGTTTGTTTGTTTTCCGGTACTGGAATCGAACTCACGACCTTGCGCTTGCCAGGCAGGTGCTGTGCTGCTGAGCTAAATCCCCAGCCCCTTCATTCGTTTGTTGATGGGCATCTATGTCGACTCCATCTTAGCTATTGTAAATAGTGGCACAGAGCATGGCTGTGCATGCGCCAGACTGTCTGCTCACAGAGTCTTGTCTGGTCCTTTTGATGCAGCGTCTGCAGAGCAGCCCTCTCTTCCTTCTGTTGCCCGATGATGACAGAGTGGTCAGTGCCTGGTGAGTCCAGAGCCAGGTCTGGGAAAAGCTGTCTTCGTTAGTTGGGATTGACTCAAACTTGGATTTTCTTCTTTGAGATTTCTTTTTTTGTCTTTTTGAGACAGGGTCTCGCTATGCAGTTCAGGCTGGCCTTGAGCTCACTTTGTAGCCCAGGCTGGCCTCAAACTTGCAATGATCCTCCTGCCTCAGCCTCCCAAGTGCTGGGATTACAGGCGTGTGCCACCACGCCCGGCTGGGATTTCATTTTGAATTGAAGATGTGGAAGTGTTTTCTGGCCATAGTAAAGGCTACCATCCCTGAGGCGGCTGTACTGCTCGTTCTCCTGGAGCTGGGCGAGAGTGTGGTCAGGTGCTTTCTCTGCGCCTCGGCCTTCTGACGGACACTGTGGTGTGAAAGCGCGCACAGCCAGCACGGCAGCTTCCCGGCCATTTCTTCCCGTCGTCTTCTGCCACTTGCACTGTTCACAGGAACGCGGCAGTCATGCTTCTTTGAGTCTGTGCGGCGCTGGCATTTACTGCCAGTGAATGCCGCAGTTAAGTGGCAGTACTGCCACGGTTTGGGCTTCCGCACAGCTGAGCATTCTGAGTGCACTTCTTGCACGTTGTGTTGGTTTTACTGTCCTACTGGCACTCGGTCCTGCAGTAGGTGCCCTGCACGACAGGCTGTGCACTGACATCCCTCGCACAGCTGCTGCCCGAGACATGCCTCCAGGGGAAGTGCTGGTGGCACTTGGTGCAGGCATACGGTGCCACCCAGTGCCACCCAGTCTGGCCCCATCCCTGCTCACCCCAGAAGTTTTATTTTCATCAGTACGGTAAAGAGCAACCAATGGATTATGTTTTAGCCATTTTTCTCAAATTTCTCCTCCTTTCAATCCATTTTGATTATTCCTGAGAGAATAAATACGCCCTCCGGCTTCCACCGCTAATATCTGTCCCCGTGATCTACCACAGAGCTTTCTTTTGACTCATGAATGCTATGCCATCAGTCCACTCATTACTAGGCAGGGCCTCCTTTTTTTTACATACCCCACAGTCTCGGTCTTACTGACTTAAAGATCTTAAAACACCTTTTTTTAATGTTAGTATCAGGAACTTGTTCATCCTAGGCAAGGCCTGTATCACTGAGCTGTTCCCCCAGTCCTAAAAGTACTTCTGACATCCAGTCAGCATGGCCTCAAATTGTGGCCCTGTTTTTGAACTGACAGTCAAATCACAGGACAACACAACTGGCACAGTTCTGGATCAGTCTCCCTGTGCCGAGGTTGTCTGTACATACATCAGCCTTATGGGACCACGGGTATTATGTGCGTACAGGCCTTAGCATTGTGCCTGGGGCTAAGATCTCCTGATATGAATGATGATGTTGTAGACCCTCTGTTTCCAGTATTCTTTCTTAGATGAGATCAGGCGCGTTTGGGGTGGTATGGCGGTAGACCAGAATTCTTTCTCGAGGCTAAATAAACTCAGTGCTAAGTTAAAAGCTTTTTGTCCTGAGAGTTTGACTGTCTAAACCTCAGATCACTGTGGGTGGCAACACAAAAGTGCAATATATACCTACTGTAGAAAATATGGAAATTCAGAAAAGCATAAAGAAAACTTACCTATAAGCTTTTCACTAAAAATAATCATTATTAATAAGTTGGATTGATATAATTCTAAAGTGCTCATAAAATTTGTGTTTTTATAACCCAGAGAGAAAAAACGTCCAATATTTCAAGGACTATTTTTCTTTGAAAATATATTACAAATATTTTCCATTACATATTTATTATTCATTTGATAATATATTTTTAGGGAAAATATGTACACACAGTTTACAACTGTATGAAGTTATATCAGCACATCAGTAACAATTTTAAATGATCAGAGAGATGGTGGTAACTTTCAAGGTAATCAGATTCTATGTTTGGATATTTAAGCAACAGTACAAAAATAGTAAAAACTAAGTTATCCTGACTGGCACATATATCCTTGTATTCTGTCTTTCTGACTAAAGAAAGGTGAATTGACTGATATTTAAAGTGAATCTTGAAAATGTATGAAAAGGGCGGGGAGCGCCGGTCTTGGGACCGGCGGCTCACTCCCTGCCTCGTAGGCCCCCGGAGGGAGGGCTTCCAGTGCACAGGGAGCCACGGGCGGGGAGCACCGGTCTTCTGGCTGGCTAGCTTCCTGCCTCGTAGGCTCCCGGAGGGAGGGCCCCCAGCACATGGGGAGCCATGCGGCGGTGAGTGCTGTTGCGCGCTGGCCCTTAGGCTGGCTGCCACTGCTCAATTGAGATCTATCATGACACAGAGAAACAGTGACACAATTGGCCCACAATGCACCGACTGTAGATGCCCACCCACAGACGTGTGTGAATCATTCAAATTTGAACAACCTCTGGGAATATATGCCATACAATGGGCCACTCTTGCTCCTGCCATTGGGAACAAGAAAGGTCCAGAGCCAGCGGAGGAGCAGCTGCTGAACAAGGACTCAGAGAACATGAGAATGCAGACTAAGCCCATGGAGTCAGAGGTCCTGTGGACTGGGGTCACGAGAGCCGCTCAGCAGCTGTAAACCAGGAGGACCTTGCACAATACCTGCAGAGACTCACTGGAAGCCATTCTTCCCCTGACAGTATAGGCTGTGGTGGAGCTCCGGAGAAGTCTGCAGCAGGATTCCTTCTGCGTGTGCTGACAGTTGGGGAGAGGACACTAACTGGTTGTGGGGTCCCAATGAGATGGGAAGCTGGAGAGAAAATGCTACAAAACATGGCTTTCGCCCCAGATGGCTCACTTGATTTTTGACAACCCTTAGGCTATAACTACTTGTTAGATCCTTCTTGTGTATCTCTGTCTTCCTGAGAAACCACTTTGAAGATACCACCATGTATTACAGCAGTCATTGATATTTTCCTACTAATCTATCCATAACTCTATAATGTTTGCATTGTTCCTATCCTATTTCATAAATGGATCCATGTTTATTATTATGTGTTTCGTACAACAACCATTGAGAATTATTGAATGATTATTCAGTAGGTCATTCATGTTTAGTTCTATTTATATTCTTTAGAAGCCACTTTGAAGATACCTAAGTATAGTGCAACAACTATTAATAATCTCCTACCTCTTTTGTCTGTAACTCACTATCATTTGTCTATTTGTTTTCCTGAGAAATATCTTGTAGATAACAATATGTAAAACAATAACCACTGATAATTTCCTACCACTTTGTCTGTAATTTGGTAAGCCCCCTCTATTATTATGTTATCCTTCTTTTACTCTTTAAAATAAAAAAAATTTTTAAAAAAGAGAAAATGTATGAAAATATAACATTTAAGGTACCATAACAGTATAGTAATTTATAAGTAATTTCGATAAGAAATCTCTGAGACAATTTTAATAAAGAGGCATTAACATACAGATTACTTTAAAATGGATACTTGAAGACTATTATGGTTTCTCTGAGTTGATTTCTCCTAAATTACTTCCTTTCTATGACTGCAGCGCCTATGAGGTCATCAAGCTGAAGGGCTATACTTCCTGGGCGATTGGACTGTCTGTGACAAATCTGGCTGGATCAATTTTGAAAAATCTTAGGAGAGTGCATCCAGTGTCCACTCTGGTTAAGGTAGGCTTAAATTAAAAATTCATTTATCATTCTTGCCTTTAATACTTATTGAGCCCCTTCTGTATGTCAGGTATTCTACAGGAAGTGGAGGATATAACTGTGAACAAAAAGGACAGACCCTTCTGGGCATGGCAGTGCACTCCTGCAGTCCCAGCTCTTGGGAGGCTGAGGAAGGAGAATGTTCAAACTAAGTTTGAGCAATTTAGATAGACCCTGTCTCAAAATTTTAAAAAGCATGGCGTGGTGGTACATGCCTGTAATTCTGGCACTTGGGAGGCTGAGGCAGGTGAATTGCTGCAAGTTCGAGGCTAGCCTGAACTACACAGCGAGACTCTGTCTCAAAATAGATAAAATCAAATAAAATTTTAAAAATGAATAAAAATAAAGAGCTGAAGATGTAGCTCCATACTATCTGTGTTCAATTCCCAGTACTAAAAAAAAAGGCCCCATGACCTTATTGAATTTAATGAAAGAAACAGAATTAATAAAATAATGATAAAAGTAAACAAATAATAACAAAAGGTGATAAGTACTGTAATGAAAAATTACAAACGGCTAAGGATATACAACAAGGTCTTAGCTACTCTGGTGAAGAGGCATAGCTGGTAGTTAGGGAAGACTCCCTAGGAAATGAAATGTGACTTAATCCCAGTAACGAGTGCGGATTAACCTGGAGGCAGAGCTACTGTTCCAGGCAGGAGGATCGCACGTGCAGTGTCTGAGGTGCTGTGAGGAGAGAGCGCTTGGGAACCCGGGAAGAGGCCTTGTTCTGACGCGCAAGGGCAAAGGGAAGAGTGAGGGCGAGGCTGAAGAAGACAGGGACCGGGCCACTAAAATCTGTACATAAAGAGGTTTGGGTTCTCACATTATCTTTTCTAATTTTTTTTTTTGTCTTTTTGAGACAGGATCTCGCTATGCAGTTCAGCTGGCCTTGAGCTAGCTCACTTTGTACCCAGGCTGGTCTTGA